GGACCTACCAGTCTCGAGCCAGAGCCTTTAACCGATAGTCACTAGTGACTTCGGGAAGTACATCCAGGAGCTCTAGTGAGAAGCAGTGACCAATGGAGTGCAAACCACGTCTGTCGTGAGATAGGAACTCACTGAAGACAATTGGTGAATGGTTGCTCAACTTCGTGGATCAGTTGAAGTTAGACATTAACACCGTTGGATGCCGGCTCAGTGGTCTATCGATTAAGGGCTCTGGCTCGAGACTGGTAGGTCCTGGGTTCGAATCTCGCGAGTGCTGGATCGTGGATGCGCACTGTTGAGGATTCCCATAATAGAACGAAACAGCCGTCCAGTGTTTCCAGGTTTTCCATGGTGGTCTAGCTTCAATTGACTCATGCTTTCAACTATGAAACTTGTATAAGGCAATAATAATAATAATGATAACTGATTAGAGTTAAAAATGTAAAACAGTAATTTAAAAAACAAAAAAACGATAATAATCAAATAAAAGTGCAGTAAAAAAACAACAACCAGAAACATCCATTAAGGGAATTAGGGCCAAGGAAGGATGAGAGGCTGGACAGATCGTTTCGAATGTACAGCTTATGTAAATGATTTCTTCGAAAAGAAAAATTTTCTTCGCTGAATTCTCTTTTTCTTATTCAATGAAATTGGTTTAAGATTAACCGTCCACTGCCATTGGCTTTTATGGTTCAAAAGATTTATAAATATATCTTAGTCCATAACTTTCAAATGTTGACATATTATGACAATTTTCTTCTGAATATATAATTTTTTGCAGGGTTTTGTACAACTAATTAAATGTTATTAATAGAAAAGTTATATTTGTCACTTTCAGTTGTCAATTTAGTTTAAATCACATCATCTTTTGGAACTGCCAATTTATTTATTTGACATTTAACTATGATGAAGATAACTCTTCAAAATATTTTTTTATAAATTGTTCTACATAATCTATTAAATAATATTGTATACCTTTCTAATAAATCTGAAAAACTGAATTGTTTACATAAATTGGTTTAGGTTATAAGCTACTGAAATCAAAACTTTGAAAGAGTTTGTAAGTCTATAAGTAGTATTAGTGTTTCTATTTCATGTAATATGAATAGTGGTTAACGAAAAGTTTAAATGCCAAATGATTGCTAACTCAAAAAATGATAGACAGAAACAATCGATTCATGATTAAATTATTCTTTTCTTTCTAACTATTTCAATATCATACAACAAAATGCGTAAACTTCGACCGTGTATATGAAAATGAAAACATCAATGAAGTCTACATTTTAATCACAGTATTTGAGTGAAATATGAAAATTAAGAACTGAAATTATTCACTGATTATTGCGAATTGTAAAAATTACTATAAATGAGTGATCCATAAAAAGTATTTTCCTTAAACTGTTAAAGTGTTCAAACTAGTAGTTGTGCTGAAGAGTTCATATTGTACTGAAAATGTGATTTTAAATAAGGTCCTTATTCATGATAATAATAATAATAACACTGGAAGCTCATTCATCATCAAATGCCATTTCGGCAATTAAAAGAGTTCTATCTCTATATTCAGGATAGATATCTTTTCACAGATTTCTGTAAATGGACAGATAAAGGAACATAGTATTGAGGAGTGGATAGTAAACTTTAAAATTACAATCTTACAAAAATCACTTTACAACATGTAATAAAACTGAAATTCAATTTTGGCCTAATAATAGTTCATAACCGTAATGTGAAACTTTTCATTAGATAAGATCACTATTTTATGAAAAACCTTGAAAGACATCATGTTTCCATTTTAACTATACAAACGTTTATTCTTCTTAAATTATTACATTTACGAAGAAGAATGAAATATATTTCTAATTAAATTTGATCTATGGTATGAATGGCATTCAACTTTTATACAATAAACAAATTGGTACTGTGTATGTAAACAGTGTTGACTACACTTGAAAAAAACATTCCGTGATATTAGACATTAAATAGGAATAATATATTTGTAAAATCTTAGCAAATGAATTTGAAGTAAATGCAATGTTTCGCCTGGCGATCTGGCCCCAGCTTTTTCAAGGAAATAATGTCTTACATCAATTCGGCGCCCAAATACTGTAAAACTATTCGCTCTAATCTAGACAAAACTTCTTATATATTCTGTGACATTAACTTACTCATTGAAGACCAAAATTATTTTGCAAATAAATCCAGTCAGAAATATAATCAAGTATATTTAGTTTGTTGTCGGGAATAAAGCAATCAATCAGATTTTTTGATTACATTAGTTAACAGTAAAATACAAATAGTTTTTTGGGAGGGAGAATTTGATTGTGAAATAATTAGTTGAACTGAATAACACGTCTAGCAATGACTGAGGTCTCATTATTCAACAGAGTTCTTTCACATAATGAAGTTGAAGTTTCTTTATCAATAATAGTCTCAGTGAATTGTTTCTTATTGACTTTACTTCTATCAGTATAAATTAAATGATACTACGTTTTCTCTGATAAGTTTAACACTATATTATTAGGTTTTAAAAGAGGTTTACTTTGATTATTTGATAGAATTAAATTCTAAAGTTAATTTCCTAACAATCAATACGAAGTCAACACTCACATCATGAATACAGTCTTCTCATGACAGAAGTGAACAGCAAATAGTTTTGTCAATTTCTTTCATTTATCCGTCGTTAATAATAACATCAGCGGCTACGAATTATGCTTTATAAACATTTGAAAGCTCTTTAATTATGATTTTCAACTTAAGAAAGATTCTCAATTGGAAAATAAAAACTAGGTGTAATTTTTAAAAAAAGTAACTTTGAGCTTTGTAATAGCCATTAAGTCAAATAATTTGATCATGGTTTCACAAAATATATTTGAAAAAGCACTAAATGGTAATGAAAACAATCATTCCACAGTACATGTATCCTAATTTGACAACTGTTTGTGATAAAAATAAATGAAATGGATATGTTCTAAATGCAACATAACAAAAACTAAGCACCTGATTGATTATTGTTTTCAAGAAGAAAACTACAACATGTAGTTAGCAATTCTAGGTAAATAACAAATTTTGATTTAGTAAAAGTTATTTAGTTCGCACCAAAGAAACAATTTTTCAGTACCAAACAGAAAAACCTGTTGAATTTCATTGAAACTCACTTGTCTCCAAAATCCCGCACTGAAAATTTCCATGTTCTCACGAGAGACAAGTTTCGAGAAGAAATCTTGGGAGTTGCAGTGAAAGGCGGTGATCAATGGAATTCAATCGTATCAGCTGTCAGGCAGCTACCTACCAAAGACAATCGAATATGGTTAAACAATGTCGTGGACTGATTTGGGTTAGACATTAACACTTTCAGATACTGGCTCAGTAGTCTAGAGGTTAAGTGTTTTCACACGAGTTCGAAGATCCCGGGTTCGATTTCTTTGTGTGGGGTGGTGAATGAGTACTGCTGAGTCATCCCATACTTGAATGAAACGGCCGTTCAGTGATTTCAGTTTTTCAGTAGCTATCTAAAGTGGATTGCTTAATAACTTCAATGAAATGATATATATATTAATTAGATTTAAAGAGTTATCATTTATATTTGTGCTGCTTCTGTTTTCAATGCATCATGTGCAGACAATATATAAAATTGACGTCATTTGTTGTTTATTATTATCTCTAAGTGGTTGATAAGAATCACATGAATTTTTCGATAGGAATATTTCTGTATGTAGAAGCTTTAATTAATTAATAAGAACTCAAAAAAAGATTTTCTGGGATCTGACTATTTTATTTCACAAATTATTCATTAAGTACATACTACTTAAACTAATAAATAAATATACAACTATTTTAACTTTAAAAAAACGTTTGCTTGGTCATAAAAATGAATATGGAACTCTCGATTTTCGGTTTAGATTTTTATAAGTGAAAATAAATTCACTACAGTTATGAAAAACAACACTACCAGTGTAGTTAAAAGGCGATTAAATTAAATTTCTTGGAAGACGGTGAGATTAGTTGGCTAATAAAGTGGCAATTATTCAGTCGTAGGAAAAACGGTTTAAACTCTAAAGATTGTGACTACAATATAGTAACAACAATAATAATTATTAGTATTATTAATGATAATAACAGTATTATGAAGAGCTTGTGGACTTATAGTTGTTATAACTGTCGTGTTTCCTCGTCTACACGGATGAGATGGTAACTTACCTTAGACACTACACTTAATTCCTCCCAGTGTATATTCTACAGGACTTCAAAACAACTCAGATCAAGAACACGTGGTTAGCCTGAATAGAACGTAAATATATTCCTACACCAAAAGTCGACACAATGCGAAAACGGTCAGCAATCGATAATAATAATAATAATAATAATAATAATAATAATAATAATAAGGATGGGAAAATACATAACTCATTTAGTACCTGTCAGACTACCTACACGTCCGACTAAGCAAACAGCAAATTATTATCAATCTCGCCCACACATCAATAATGAACATGGAATTAGTAATTTTTGTAAAAAGATAGAAATATAAAAAAACATTTGTGAATTAATGATGATCCACTATATGAGCACTTTTATTTAAAGTGACTTCATTTAAGACAATTGATTCAATAAACCAGAAAATACTTATAGCACTCTAGTTACTAATTATTGTTATGTCATTCATATTTAATTTATGTGGTAGAATTATAACATTGAAACTCGAACTTAGTGCCTATCACTCCAAGCACCAATAGATAAAAATTATTCTTGTTCAATAGGTCATTGCTCTCTTGAACTAAGTAGCTTGGTAGGTAGCACGTTGGAATTCTAAGCTACAAGTCGTGTGTTCGATTCTCATTGCTAACAATAGCACTGAGATACATGTGAACACAGCTGACAAGTCTCAAAATAAATGAAACGTAAGCGCGGAATTTCATTACTAGTCACAAATAAAATTGTCCAGGAATATATATATATATATATCTTTTATAAATTCATTTTATTTTCTTCTTGAATTTCAGTTTCACACGGATGTTCGGTTAACTGAAGTGAACCAAACATTACTCGGTCGACCACTAATCATTGCACATGAAACAAACAGTTTTCCATTTGATAATTTCGGTCGTTATTTATATGAATACATGAATCCTGGATCATTATTAAATATATTCTATAGCAAGAGCATCACTAAACGATTAAATACTCGTCGAAATCCATGTACTTCAAAGCCAATTAATTTATTAGATAACAGTTTTGATTATGATCAAGTAAGTTGATTGATCATAAATAGAAGTTCTACATTTTTCCAACAATAATGTTAACTTTTCTTAAAATTACAAACATTTACAATTTTTAACACACTACAAAGGATGTACGAATATTATTGTGTGGTAATCCCCAATGATTATAGTTTTATATGAGAACTATAAGAGAACATATTGTTCTTTAAATTAAAAAGTCTTTCCAAATGCTTAAACATTATTATTACGAGTTTGAAACTCTTGCCGAATATGACTAGTAATTAATCAATGTGGTTAAATATTTGGAACTTTAAAATCAACAAGTGAATGGCAGTAGTAGGTGAACGAAGGGACTAGACTGAAACTTCATCTCTCTTGAAATAAGCATATTCATCATGTTTACATATGTATTCTGAGAATTCTCTTTTCACTCAATGTGTTTATTGGTTAAAATATCTTTAAAGAATTAGTTCAGAAGCAATCTTTTCTCTGTCGTCGAAATATGCCCTGGAATTCCTATTCTGTCTAATTTCAAGTATATACTGAAGAAGGAATAAGAATTATTTTAGAAGTTGTTTAAAATAAAAACTTAATGTCTTCTATTTGTTCATAATTTGGGTAGTTAGTATGGTTATGTTCGACACACTCATGAGAGGTTGCAATAAAATATGTACCGTAGGTTATCCGAAGCACAAAGAGCCTGTATGCTGCTATCACAGTGATTATTATCTACATTGAAGCTCAAGATTCAGCGATTTTATTGTCATTATTGGTCATATCTCATTCCATCTTAGGTTGACTTTATGGTGGATAATATTAAGTGTTGCAGTATGGATGTAGATTCTGAATTTTCATCACATAAATACTCGAAAATGAAAAATGGCTTTCAGAACTACCTATTCGCGTATGAACTCATCAGAGGGGTGGTGTCATATTGTCATATGGCTTAGCTTAACCTTAAATATGAAGAATCGATTGAGGATTTAGGCATACGTGCAATCCATGTCAAGCTCATCCACAAAACTAAATATCTCATTTATGTTTTTTAGAAGAAACATGTATATTTCATTGGTTGTTCTGAATCCAGTAAACTCACAAATACCATTAACTATCATGGTTTTAGAGTCAGTTATTGCAATAGAATAACTTCAAGAAACTTAATCCAAATAATCTTAAAATCCTTTTCTGAGCACATACAGATTTTTCAAAAAAAAAAAGAAAATGCGTTAAAAATCAATCTTATTTCAATGTTTAGATAAAGTAAATAATTAGAAAAAAAGTATTTTTAAAAACCTATTTTCCTAATGATTTTTTTCCTATCTGTTCGGTTACTGTTCAATCAATATTTTATGTATATAACTTCTCATATGAAATTAAATTTGCTAAATAATACTTCCGTATAATTCTAATTCATTAAGTTGATATATCATAGAGAAGAGAAAAACATTTTTTTAAAGGGTAGAATCACAGACTTGATAATTTTGAGCATGGGATTTTGAGTATAGATTGTAATTCAGTTTATGTAAGTGTAAAATATTATTGACTAGGTTGGTTAAGATACATGATAAGCTGTAACCATGGCGATCCTGGTTAATAAAAGTTTAAGTTCGAAGAAGAGAGCAAACAAACCATGAAATGGTATCTTTCTACAGGTCAATAACTTGTAGACTGAGATACATTGGCGAGTGCAAACTTCTAATTGATGTAGTCGAAATAGTGATAATGTACAGTTGAAGATTTTTGATGACATGATCATATATTCCTATGCTGTGTACACTGTTAAAGATTTACAAAAATCTCTATTTAAAGAAGTTTAGTATATATACCTTTATTTTGTTTAACGCTTATTAATCCACTTTTTATCCTGTTCACCCTATTGATTAAATCGACATAATAAGTTTTTGAACAAGTGAAGTGATGTGGCTCACTATTTTCTAAACTTTCAGTACTGAGAGATTAATGAATAGTTGTATTTGTGTATAATCCTACTAAGATGCACACTTCGGTTTTGTGTAATTTGTTGTTAAGGTGTTTTGTTTATTTTTAATCTAGACATACAATTTAGAGTCTCTTTCTACTTATGTTACATAATAATTTTTGATCGATTGATACAACACTCAATTAGATAGGAAATCATCACATAAGGTGTTTAGAATAGTCATCTTGTATAACAAATTTATTCCGACTTACGCTAACTTACTTTCTATGTCATTTACACTAAATAATCACTAATTACTTAAATGGAAGTCAAAATCAACATTCACTAATTGAACTGCAAAATATCTATCTCGTTATTGTTTTTTTTTAATTGAAACATTTTTGATCTCATTTTACTGTTCTTTATAATTTTCTTTTGTCATTTATCGATATTCTTTAGATCACATGTCAGTGGCATACGGTTTGTGCACGATATAACAAAGAATGTAATTGTACATGCCCTTTGGAATTACTTCGTCTTCGATTGGATCGTGAAATCAAAAGTAAAGCTTCGAATAAGTCATTCTTCATGAATATCGATCAAAACCGTCAACACTCTCGATCTGAACACTATTGTCCACCTAATTGTCAGCTTGATTATCGTATGGCCTTTGTGAATAACTCTATATGTCCGCTGGCGTGTCGTACGGTAACTTATAAAAAGTTAAACGAAGTTCTAGACAACATTACAGATCGTTCAGCTGTGCAACTAGAATTAATTCAAGCTGAAGGTTTAACTGAAATGACTGAAGAAGCATTGTATTCGTTGCCTAAATTATTTAGTGAAATAGGTGGCTTAAGTTCGTTCTGTTTTGGATTTAGCTGTATTCTGTTTTTTGAATTATTGGAATTAGCCTTTTGGTTAAGATGTACTTATCGTTCTCAATTTCTTGAACGTGTAACAAAGATGTTAGGACAACACATGGAAATTATTGATGAACCTAATGACAAAACTTTTAAAAATCTTCAAAATGCAACTAATAAACTATCATTTACAGAAAATGTTTGGCAAATACAAGATAAAAGACGTAATAAACTAAGCAACAGAAACATTAGCCCACGGAGACAAAAACAACGAAAAAATGAATCATTTTGTCCAGTTACTTCAGTATCAAAATGGAGTTCACATGACCAACCAAAAGAAAAATCATATAAATATTCACTAATATGTACACCATCCCGGTTGAAATCTCGTACATCAAATCGTATTGAATTAAACCCATTAAAAATGTATAAAGTTGATGGTACACGCTTAAGTGAATATCCTGAAGATCAAGATAGTCCATTAATTGGTATAAAATCGCATAAAACATTTCTTTCAGAAAAACCTACATTGGGAATACATCGAAATTCTCCTAATTATATTCAATATCCAATAAATTTATCTGCCTTCAATGATAAAGTTCAAATTTTAACAGTTCCGGTTATTTTAAATAATCATTTATTTCAAGTTGCTATAGACTATGAGATAACTTTATAAAAATGGTTCTATGAATATAATTATTTATACATTTTCATTTTATGACAACATTATTTTTTGAAATAAGTATCCAAATTATCATCAATTTATAATACAATAGAAATCACAATTCAAACATTTCTTTGAATAAACCTTCATTATGATATTCATAGTTTCCAAATTCAAATGAACTTCATAAATAATTCCCTTAATGAAATAAAGAATTTATTAGGTAATGTATAAAAAATTTCATATATTGAACCCATTGAGTGTAAATTTATAGATTTAAAAAATATACATACGTATATTCAAACTGTATATGGATGTTCTCTTTTGTTCCTTTACTTTCAATCACTTTTAGTTACTAAGATTTAAAATGGATATATCATTAACAATACATGAGTTAACTTGTAGATATCATGAATGGTTTTTGTTAATCTAACTAGCTCATTTAATTGTAAGAATATAATTTACTAAGCCCCACAAATGATATTCCTCTTCAAATGTTTTGGCCAATATATATTTTTTCTACAAATCTGAACCCTTAAAAGTTCATTTACGACTATTTAATTAAATGATAAGGTATTTCAAAGATAAATCAGACAGGCAAATAAATTTACGTTTTAAATGGATCATATCATGGAACATTATATGCATATTCAGAATTCATTCAAGCACTCTCATTCTATGTAACACAAATTAATGAAAGTAGTCTTCTTAATTTTCTAGGTTAATCTATATTACACAATAGGTAGTTTCTTCAATCAGCAGACTGTTTAAGATTATTAAACATATAAGGTGATGATTTTGAATTCTCACCATTGGTTTTATTTGTTTCTGTTATTTTTAGTAATTGAATAAATTTATATCGTCATCTATTTTAATGGAGGAATTATGAATTACAGATTTATGTAGATTTAAGTAATACAATATAATTTTATAAATTAAATTTGATTTGAAAAGTCCCGGAAATTTTGTTTGATGTATTCTATGACTAATTATATCAATGTACAAGAAACAATTTATCACTTTTGATATGAATGTATCATGAAGACATGTGAATGATCCAAGCTTACTCTCAAATTAGTTTGATATCTTGACACAAAAGCTCAAGCATATTTAACAACTTAACAAGTTCATAGTTTTATGTAGTGATGTTTACCCTTGACTAATAGATTCAACTACAAGAAATATCAATGCAACAAATTACTGAGATGTATATATGACTCTTGACCTTGCGTGAAGCCTTTCTAGAGTAACAGCTTGTTCCAAGCCCGGATGAAGAGGGTTGGGCATAAGGTTAGCGAACCCACCAAATGGAAGATAACCATGATGCAACACGCCAACCCGTAATATTTAGTTTTTTGGAGACACATGGGTGGAACTGTAGTCCTGAATTCTCGTTAGCTAAACATCTCAACCAGGTCGAAGTTTTGAAACTATTATTTACAAAACTGTCCGATGTAGGTTGAATGATTGATAGGAAATATTGAAGGGCAAACACAAAGAATACTTATAGGTTTGTCATCACCACATGATATGCAAGTGCGGAAAACTGGTTTTATCTTTCTCCAATCTGTTCTGTTAGACATATAACATTCATTCTGGTAAGATTTTACCTGTACTCTAGATGTACTGAGAAAGCGGAATGTCCTAGTCATCACGTTAGTCTAGGTAGTGCTACAAAATCTTAACTAGGTGGGACGTCGATCTATGTTTACGCTAGTTGAACATGATGGTATTCCTTTTTTGGCTTTAATTGCGTAAATTCTGGGCAAAATCAGAAAACTGTTTATTCCTTGAAATCTACACCGGAATAGTTCTGACGGGTTTTTAACAACGAAGAGGAATGGTGCTTCGTAATAAATGACTTTCAAATGGGCTGATGAGAATTTACTTTTTTATTCCAAAGACGTTTTTATTTGCTCGTCTTTGAGTACATTACATGATAGCAGCATTCCTTTCCAAGTAAGGGGAGATATTGCAAAATATCTTCCCAGATGAGGTCCTTAGTAAATATTCGAAACAGTTTCAAATAAACCAGAAGTCTGCTCACCAATTGTTCTAACAATAATCTTTATGAGTGTGTAGTGAAGTACTTTTCATGACTAGAACGCGACTGGTGTAATGGAAACAATTATCATTACAACCAATTGTACCAGTAATTGTTTTACTGTACTCGTTTTGTTTAACTGTAGCAAAAGCATTTTCCGTCCCGTTGTCCATCCTGTTCGTGCGAACTCTCTTATGCTCTGCTATTTTGCCTGTACTATTTGGCACGTCTCGGTATTCTTTCGATACCACGAGATCGCCAATAAGTATATCCTATCTGGACCGATAACAGCCTTCTGGTTTTCGGCCTATCGAGGGACCCAAGTGGTTATCTGGTGCGCAATCTTATTGTAGTGATGATCAAAGTAAATCGCAACTCGAAGCCATCTACAAGTGAATGTATCTTATTGACTTCAAATGGGTTACAGGAGGAGAGACTTAGAGTATCACGAACAGTAATGTCATTTCCAGCGATCTAATGTATGATACTGAAATCAAAAAGGAAGCACGTAGTGAAAAGTGCAACTTTACTGTTCACTAATGTTTAGCATTTACTGGCGTTTGAAGGAAGGAAATTTCTTGTGTTCCAGCTGTTTATTATAAGTACAATTTTTCTCAAGGTCATAATACCAGACAGGCTGGAGAGTTAAGTGGGTCATCAGTGCACAAAAGCAAAAGTGTGGTTCGATTATCGAGTCATGTGACACTTCACCTATCACTGAATGTACACCCGACAGAGAGGAGCGAACCGTTACACTTTTATAACATATCGAGGCTGATTAAAGCTGATTAGAGTTTTGTAGACACTCATATTCACTTATTTTAAACCTCTTTAGCATAGATTGATGAATTATTCTATCCAACATGATTTTTTTCAAGTGCAAGTTTTACGAGATGCCTACTGAAGTAGCCACTCATCCGTGCATAACTGTATTCTTCTCTCAAGTTCCTTATGCCTGTAATCAGTTTGGAAATATGGTCCACGAGGCAGCAACAAGATTCGAAAAAATCATTTCTACAGCTTATGTGATTGCGTAAAAAATAAGGTGTTAAAGAAGCAGGATCACCAGGTTGTTTATATAGTATGCCTACTATATAAGAATCACTAGTATCTTTCACACTGCACTATACGACGACCTAAGACCTAATCTAAGAGACATGACTTCCAGAGCTCTGAGAGAAGTGGACTTAAACTGAATGATCTCACTACTCAGAGTGTGAGATCTTCACTACGAAACGCTTGAAAATCGTCAGATCAAAGTTCGCTATCGATGATACAATTGATCAGCTACTATAATCAGGGGTTGTTCTCTTGTTTGCTTTTCGGTCTCTGGAATTTTCACGTGTAACTCTCTCACTTTTTTTATATGTGCTGAAATTGTGATTGACAATCCTTGAGTAAAACAGATGCGAGGTCGCCTTTTTAAAAGTACTTTACTAGGCTGCCTTCCTTGGATGTTTTGTAATAGTGAATTTGGATTAATCACTCCGAGTTACGACGGTGGGGCTTATATCAATAAAATCAGTTGAACAGAACTTTAGGTCGAGTTCCTCTCTATCGAGTGGCCTAACAGTCAACTGTGGGATGTGACGGAAAATCGTGTGTTCGTTTCAGACCATTTCATTAATCTTGTGTTTTTTGATGTGTGAGATTTATGATGCCACGATTCCAGAGTGACTGTCAGCATATCGAGAAAGTCCGTTGTTACCTCGGATAACCTAGATGTTTGAGATGAAACGAGATATACTAGTCTCAGGGAGAGTGGTAACACCATTACTGTGTATAGTGGTGAGTATTGATCTGCCTAAAATGTATCGATATAGTCTGCGTCATGAGCAGACTTAGCTTTGAAAAATTCAGCAGTTACTCTGGGTACCCAGTGAACAAAAATAAGACATAATTAATCAACATTCATATTAACATGATCCTAAACTATTACTACAAGAAGTGACTATCACTGTTGTCGCAAGTCGGAGGACTTTTTATAAGTGAATAATTGGAGCTAGAGACAACGAGAAAGTAAAGTGAATTACATGAGAGTAACACTGATAAAGAAGAACATGCTTTACAATTAACATTTGAACCTTGGAAGAAAACACTTTGTCCTCAAGGTCGCAGCCACTACAACCTTGTAAAAGAGCGCTCTTCCAGAAAATTAAACTAAATATAATTTAGTTAGAGTAAAAACAGTAGATAGAAACCATATAAATCTGCTCAAAAGCAAAGTAATACTTGTAATTATCTGTGTTTAGCTCTTAGATACTCTATGTACTGGGAAAAAAATACAGAAAACCGTGAGTGAGGAGATTTGGAAATAAGAGGAATAAAAGAAAAATTGAGCCGACAACCCAGCAATCACAAGAAATGCATTTACGTTTACTGAGGAAAGCAAGAGACGATAATATATCACAAGAAATGACTCAGACGTGTGTAAATCTAAACTCAAAAACGAGAGTAGATGATTTAAAAGGCTGCAAAATCCTTGGTGGATTTACACTTTGCAGATTACTCCGCCAAAGTAAGTAAGGTAATATTTAGCCCTATCGTATATGTAGAAAGTTTGACCTCATAAAACATTGTTGTGAATCAATCGTTCCACTCACATAACAAAAAAACCGACAGTAAGCTCACAGTAGCTAACAGACAGGATCTGAGATCACGATTGAAGGCCTTGCATACAACTTTCAAAAAAGTTAAATCAGTTCCTAGTCTAGTTATTTCGAGTCTGAATTGGTTGAAAGACAATGACCCTGCAATTTGGCATGCTGACGATCTAGAGTTAGTAGAATCTGCCATCAGAAATATTCTCCCTGATGAGGTTGTGGAGATAGAACCTTAAAAACCTATTTTGTAAATAATTTTTCATAGTTTTCGCATGTATTTTCATATTCTGTACATTAAGCATTAAACAATTGTACTTGTTGTTTAACTGTATTACATTGAACGCTTGTAACACACCTTCCTTCCGTTTTGAGTACAACATACCGTGCCACTGTTAATTCTCCTCAACAAATACACTCTAATTCACATCTGCATCGTTCTGTCCTGTCTGCTAATATGTTGAATGAAATATTAATTGCATACCATCCACGTTTATAGACAATTGCGACATTCTTATTGGATTCTACGCTTGGTAAAACTATTGGATCTATATCGTCCATATTGGGATTATTGCTTTTGTTATAATTGTGGAGTATCTGGACCAAACCCAACCGAACACGCAATAGCCTGAAGACTTAAGTAACGTCCCTTATTTTGTTATTTTTGTGTGTAATTACTTATTAACTGTTAATTGTTACATAAACTATAGACATAATATTTTTGTTGCTAATTTTTTGGTTATCAAACATTTTGGTCCGCCACAATTATTTGGTGAGCCTCGATTATCTCTTTATAGACATTTACTATATATAGCTACATAATTTAGTATTCTTATTAATTGGCACGATCCCATTTTTTGTTTTTGACATTATGGACTCCTCTAATAAACTTATCGATATTGATAGCTCATTAACCAACCCCTTTCATTCACCACCGCTAGAAGATAATGTTTTAAACTCAATCAACACTATTTCTGAACTGAGATTACCAACATATGGTGTTAATAATCCCAGAATCTGGTTTACACAAGTTGAGGCACTATTTTTGGCGAGGGGCATACGTTCACAAGCGACTAAATATGCCCATATCGTCGGGGCACTACCTATAGATGTTGCAACGGAAGTCAGTGACCTGATAGATAACGTACCAGAAATGGACCCCTATGACAAAATAAAAGCTGCAGTGATCCACCGTACTTCGCAGTCTGATGAAAAACGCTTGCAGCAACTACTCACCGCATGCGAGTTAGGGGACAAAAGACCTTCACAGTTGCTTAGACATATGAGACAACTGTCAGGCCCTTACAAGTTAGACGAAGCACTACTTAAGCACATATGGTTACAAAGGTTACCATATAACGTCAGACAAATCCTCAGCATATCAGGAGCCTCTGTCAGTCTTGATGATTTAGCAGACATGGCTGATAAGATGATAGAAATATATCCCGATAGTCACGGCGTTAGCGCGATACAATCCTCAAATGCAGAAAACATGAGCGACGCACTCAACATCCAACAACAAATAACACTGTTAACACAGCAGCTAGCATCACTGCAGGCGACTGTTGCCACCATCCATTCTCGACCTCCCAGATCTATGTCCAGAAGGAGATCAGTATCCAGACATCGTCTTAGGTCACCTAAGCGGGCAGCCGGAATGTGTTGGTATCATTCGAAGTATGGTGAGAAAGCACGTTGTTGCACAAAACCGTGCAACTTTAAGACAACCAACCCAGTCTATCAGGGAAACGAAGCGGCCAGACAGTAACGGCGGCAGCTGCTACTGGCCAACATGTTAGCCGCCTATTTCACGTCAGGGATCGCATTTCTGGCTCGGACTTTTTAGTCGATACTGGAGCAGAAATCAGCATCATCCCACTCCATCTCTCCCGCAGACAACAGACAATAAGCACTAAATTGTCCTTAGTAGCGGCTAACGAATCAGTTATCAAAACTTACGGAGAACAATCTCTTATATTAGACCTCGGGCTCCGCAGAAGATTCACATGGGTATTCATAGTTGCCCAAGTCAAACGACCCATCCTCGGGGCTGATTTTCTTAGTGCGTACAACTTGTTAGTAGATATGACCAACAAGAGACTAATCGACGTAAACACACGTTTACAGGTAAATGTTGCGCTCTCCAATGACAACGAGATCCAGGGTGTTCGAATAATGAAACCTGTGAACAACATCTTCAACGACATTCTAACAGAA